GAAATTGTGCGAGTCTGTTCGTTCTGGCTGATATGTATTGTGGATGCTGGACCTGATCTATGTTTTTAATCTGTTTCAAAACATGAGTCAATATATATGAGCATTGATTTGAATTGCTTCGATTGGTTATCATATCTTCCATGTGGTCTGCCCAACAAAACTATTAGACCACAAGTCTACAAAGAACTGGGCTATCAGTACTTCTAACTACCAAGTCCTATAAACATCCCATCACATCCATCAAACGATAAGAACAGGTACAGTTCTTGTGAAACCTCTTTCAATTCTGTTCTGAATATTAGCCTCCTCATTGCCCTTGAATGATCATTTCAATCACTTTTCATAACCTTAGATCAATTCTTTTTGCTTCTGAGTCCCTCTCTTTGCTCAATAGTTTCTTAGAACACTTATCTTTACCTGATTATATTAAGAAGGGATATCTGATTTCTTCTGCCCCCATGATTAGAAATTGAAATTAACTTCAATTGCAAAGCTTACCTTTTGTGGATGAAAGAAAACTGAGCTTACAATACAAGAAAGAAAGAAGATGTTTAGTTTTTGTGACTTATACTAAGTATTTTGAGTTCGAGTTTGAGGCTCTATCTTTTACCCCATGTTGGACTTTTTTTTCTCCGAATTTGGAAGTCTTGAGGTTGAGTTATGAGCTTCGTAGCCAAGATTTTGACCGGATACAAAATTATTAGTGTTCGATCAAGTGGTATTTTCATGGAGATTCTATCTATCACGGTAGGATTCCTATTCAAGATCAGTTCCTTTTTGGTTTATAGGTGGTAGGGTAGGGTGGGTGGTACTGCTGAAATTGTGGCCAATCTTCCTAACGGCATGTCGACTTGCATCATTTATTTGTTGTGATTATTATTATTATTATTATTATTTTTTTTTTTTTTTGCAGGCCCAACATTATCTTTCTGAATACTTCAGAAATAGTCATCCTTATCATTCACATATGTTTGATCCCTTCCTTTATCATCAGAGTTCTCTTCACTAAACCCAAGATCAGCCTTTTGCACAAGACTACGTGTAATTAACTAAATGGAACACATTTTCTTTCCTTTGTTTTGGGCTTCATGTTTCTCCCATTGTAGTGGGCCCAATATCGAATTAAATTGTTGGCCATGGCCCATAGTCTTTGTCTAGTATGTTTGGTGGGCCTAATGGTCCAAAACCTATTCAATAAGCATCCCAATTGAAAGAAGAAAAAAAAAAAGCCTTTCGTGTTGATAAATTCAGATCTACCCTTTGATTATAAAGTTGGTAATGTGGATTATTCAACTACCAAAAATCATATTTGGGTTCATTGAAATAAGTCTTCAAAGTCCAAAATATATAGTAAATTTGATGAGTGTTTGTGAAGGGAGTTGGATGGTAACATTCTTTAGAGTTGATTGACGGTTCATATTGTTAATTTGTTTCAACTCGATCAACATTTATTAGATAATAAACTCAATCTAATTCGATCCTAAAATATTTACGTTAAGATAGTTTGAGTAATTTTGTGACACTCGAGTAAAGGAGGATACATAAGTGATCTGAAACCACATTTGAATGAGAGCAATCGAAAGGACGGTTAAGCATATTGGTGATTTCCTAGTAATTTTCCTACATGCATGTGAGTAAGGACTTGGGTTGGTCCCTGGTCTATGGGGACGAGAGAAGTGAGAAGTAGGTAATGTAACCTTGTACTGAACTTGTGTTGGTCTATGGAGATAGTCTTCACTCTTAAAAGTGAGGAGTATGTAATGTAATCATGTCAAAGGGGATGCAGAGGAATGTCGGGGACATCAAATGCTCTCATATTTTCCACATTATTAAGATAATATATATAGGTGTGAGAGCTATTAAAGTTTTACGAATTTTCTTATATTAAATAAGTCCTTAAAATCTTTAAAAAAAAATGCTAAGTCTTTAAATATTTTTATTATGTCTAATAAATTTCTTAATCGTGTAACTAAAAAATAATTCCACTGCAAAAAAATGTTTAATTGAAAAAAAGATTTGTAGCACCATCTTTGTAGATACTGCTTCACACGTGGACTGTTTTCGGTACGTTATGTGTTATAATTTAAGTGATGACCTATTTTTTAATTATTTTAATAACTTGGCGTGTTGGTCCTAATTTGTAATATCTTTTTTCTATTAAATTGTTTGACCCTACCATTCCTTCCCCAAATGAAAGAGGATAAGCTTTGTTTTTAACATTATGTATTGGATAAGCTTATCAAACCAACCTTTATTAATTTACAACAAAACTTTCCCATAATTTCATTTTGTATACAATATTTCCATTTTTTTTTATTATTTGTCTATTATTTTAATGTGTGGATTTAATAGTTGGATCTGTTTATTTCTTTGACCTAAAGACATAGTTAAATTACATCCACATTTGCATACTTAACATTAGATGTTCTAACGTGTAATTTAATATATATATATATATATATATGTGGAGTTGCTTTTTTTTCCTTTTTATATACGAAATAAAAAATATTTATAACTATAACATGATTGATCTATCAAATATTTTGATATATTTTAAATAATTTTGAGATCAAAAGAATGTCGAGCGTCGAAGGGATATATTAACTTCCATATTGGATCACATTATTTAATAATAAAACTAATGTGATACCAAAAGGAGTGGACCCACCAATCCGTGCTTGGTTACCTTTAGCTCAGCTTACGTGGCGCCGCGTCATTTGGATCCACCTTTGTGGTCCCCCCTTCTCCTAAATATCTGTTATTTTTTTTCTAAAATTAAAGTTCCCTAAATTTATTAGAAATTTTTAAAATTTAAATTTCATGAATTGAATTATATTTTTTTATTTTGAAGTTAGTAGATTTATTAGATGGAGTTATTATACGATAAATATTGAAATATTTGTTCAAATTTAAAATAAATATTATAAATTTAAAGTGAAATTTAGTTGTTTTCAGGTGCCCAGCCGGATTGATTACGTGAAATTAAAAAATATAAGAACAAATCAAAATATAATTTATTTTATATAATTTTTAAATTCACCGGGTCCAATTGTCGGTGCATGTGAAGTTCTGAGTCAAATCTGACCACGAACTTTACAAGTGGCATACTTGCATTGCATGGTCCACCAGACACGTATTTCTATTTTGTCAACGTGTCGAACTGTAATTCGCCATTTTTTAATTTCAATTGTAGCATTCTATCTAAACTACAAAAATATTAATTTTCTTAAATTCATTTGATTTTTGTCTTTACAAATAATCTAAAAATGTTGGGATCTATTCTGCACTTTTAAGTTTAACCACCTGTTTATTAAATTTTATTATTCATTTTTTAAGTTTAAAGGGTCATTTAAATATAAAATTTAAAAATTGAATGTTAACTAATCTACTCTTTATTATTATTATTATTTTAATTCAAGTAGTTCCAAGATTTGAATTTCTTAATTTAATAGAGAAAAATGGCTATTTCAAAAAATTAAATATATGATGAAAAAATATTTAACTATTGATTTATTTATTTTATTTTTTACTTTTTTTTTTCCATCATATTTGGAAGATTTTTAGTTAATTATTCTAAAATTTTATTCTTTAGCATGGTAAAATGTGAACTAGGATGGTAGGTCTATATCTTAATTCAATATTAACTTTTGTTTTTAATAACAAAGCATATATGATAATAACGAGAATATAGCTTTAATTTTTTTTATCACATATTTCATATCTAACCGCTTTTTATGTAAGCTGGAAGAATAACATCTCGTTGACTATATAAAAGTAACAATAACGAAATTTTATTAAAAATTACAACGTATAAAACATGATTATTCTAGAATCTCCATTAATTTCCGACAAAAATATTGTATCAAAAAAAAAAAAAGGGTAAGCTCATGCTTTTATCCTTTTTCTTTTAAATATTGGTAGATGAAGTTGATGAAAGCCTAACGAAATTTCAAACGCTCAAACTCCATTAAAAAAATGATTAACTTTATTAAAGTTGATTGGGTTAGATAAATTAAACTGGATTAAAGTTAGTTTAGAGGTCAATTTAATCCTATTGTTTTGGAATTCTCTAATAGTACAGAATTTTTCAAACAAATAAATTGAAATATAAACACATTTTAAAATAATAATAATAATAATTTTAAGTATAGTTTTTTTTTATTGATTATATATAAGAGCTAGTTGTGCAAGGGACAGATTTGTTGTTTGTTTTGTTAATTAGATTCATTAATGAACAATTTAGAGGGAAAAAGAAAAAGAATAGAAGTAATAAAAAATAAAAAATAAAAGAAAAAGCAATTATTTAACGCGTGAAACTTGGAATCTCCGCCTAACTTGTTTTGATTTTTACTATTTATTTGAACAGTTTTGACTTTAATATAAAATTAAATACGCCAAAGAATTTTTAATTAAAAAAATAAAAAGAAGTAATTATTTATCATTTTTGTTCATATTTTCATAATTACTTTATAAAAAAAACACTATTTTCGCTATAAAAAAAAAAACAAAACCGTTTTTGTTTCATTCAATTTTGGCTAAAAATGATAAAGGAACCGACATAAATTAAAAATAAATGTAAAGGTGAGTTTTATCATAATTATGGAAGGGTATGAGTTGGTTTAATATTTTTTATTTTTATTTTTAAATATAAATATAAAATATATATATATATATATATATATATATAATTTGTTTGATCTTAAAAGGTCATAACCGTAAAGCTTTCAGTTTCAATTTCCGGCTCATAAACGACGCCGAGACAATCCACTTGCTTTGTCCGCGTTTCTTTTTTCAAATACCATATTTTTAAAACTTTTATTATTTTATTTATTGAGTTATTTTTAATTAAATTAATTATAAAAAAATAAAAGGGGAATATTGAAAGGGTTTGAACAAGATGGCAAAATAGGAATTGAAGTCCAGAAAACATTGGTTAAACCCAACAGCTCGCGCGCCGCCCGTTGTGTTTGGTACCAAATTTTGATATCAACAGGCGGAGAGAGAGAAACAAAATGATATCCATTTTGCTAATTGGCCTAATCCATTGGACACCATTCGTAGTTTCTTTCCAAACATCATAAAAACCAAATTTCCATCTCGATTCTCGATTCATTCTTCTCTGAAAATTTTCCCATCAATCCTCGTCATCACCTTCTTCTTCGCCACAAATCCCTCTCTCTCTCCTCTGTACTTTTTTTTTTCTCTCTCCTAGTCCGCACTCCGTCATCGCCTCCCCCAGTTTTCTTCCTCCATAAATATGGCTTTCTTTCAACCCCTTCTTACTCCCCCCTGTCATTGTTCATTAACTCTTTTTCTCTTTTTCCTTGTCGTACCATTGCTTCCTCCCGCCGCTCCCATGCCTTTGCACGAAGTTTACTCTCCTCGCTTGGCCTATAGGGGTCCGGTTATTCCGGTCAGCAATCTTGTCAAGTTTCTCGAGCGTCTTCAGGTTGTGGCGCTCAATTCCTTTGGTAAACTTGATTTCGATCTTAAATATTACGTCGATTTGTCGCTTAAATTTGATTTGAATTCCACTGAGAGGGCTTTCGATGCCCTTTCACGATCCTCCAATGGCTCTGTCCCGGTCGAGGATTTGAAGACGTTTATTGGCGAGTATTTCGATAGTGCTGGAACCGATATGGTGTACTCCGACCCTGTGGATTTTGTCCCTCGGCCTCAAGGGTTTTTGCCGAAGGTGGAGAATGCGGGGGTTAGAGCTTGGGCTTTGGAGATTCATAATTACTGGAAGAATCTTAGTCGGAAAGTCTCCGATGATATCATTCATCGCCCCGATGCTCACACTCTGCTGCCGTTGCCGATGCCCTGTGTCATTCCCGGAGCCAGATTCCGGGAAGTTTACTATTGGGATTCCTATTGGATTATCAGGTATTGTGATGGCTACAGTTTTGTCTCGATTTCTTTCTGCTCTTTCAATGATTTTATTTTAATCTCCAGCGTTTTAACTTGACTTGTACTTTTCCAAGAAAACTGTTCCTGATTGAATTGGCCTTTTATAAACTCACTTTTTTCTTCACATTGTTCTTATCTTTGCCGGCCACTTTTCTTGGATTCTGTTTCCCCCTCTTGTCACTATGTGAAGAAATAATCCTCAGGCTGTTCAACTGGTTTCTGTGAAATATTCCACTGTGAAATTTGGGAAATGCAGTTTCAAAATTTCCCATTAAGAAACTGAAAAATTTGTATATTATATTTTCTTGAATGATGACAAAACTGGGTGGGATTGTTCCCTCATTTGTTTTTATTTCATTCTGTGCAGAGGATTGTTAGCTAGTAAAATGTATGATACTGCCAAGGGAATTGTTATCAATCTCATTTCAATGATTGATGAGTTTGGCCATGTTTTGAATGGTGCTAGAGCTTATTACACTAACAGAAGGTAAATTAACTGATCAATCCCTGTGAAGAATGTGTGAAAATTTAGTAGTTTTGGAAACTGATTATCCAACCCTGGATTACATTTTGCAGTCAGCCTCCTCTCTTGAGCTCCATGGTTTATGACATATACCTTAGAACAGGTGATTTAGAGTTCGTGAGGAATGCCCTCCCAGCTTTGATCAAAGAGCATACGTTCTGGAATTCAGGTACGACGAGATACCGATGCGTCTTACTTGATCGACCATTATAGCTGTATCGATTTCCTTAGTTTTAGTAAGTTTGTAATTTAGTCTTTCTCTATTGGTTTTAGGATTCCATTCTGTTACTGTCCGGAAGGCTCCTGGTGGAAATCATTCTTTGTCTAGATATTATGCAATGTGGAATGAACCCAGGCCTGAATCTTCTCTTCTGGTGTGTTTTCCTCTTGGATCTTAGTTGCCTACCTGCCATAATATGAACTTACCTTGTGTTTGACTTGATGATTTATTCTTGACAGGATGAGAAACTTGCCTCAAAGTTTGTGAATAACTATGACAAGCAGCGTCTATACAGTGAACTCGCATCGACTGCCGAATCTGGTTGGGATTTCAGTTCAAGATGGATGAGGTATAACCATTGTGATCTGGAATATCTGCAGAGCTAAGAGTTCATTAAGTTTTGAGACATTTTTATAGCATTACAGCAATGAAGTTTTTAAACGCTTTTGAGTTTGCTTCTTGAAGGGATCACACGGACTTATCAACATTGGCTACAACTTCAATCTTGCCAGTTGATCTCAATGTATTCATACTCAAGGTATGGCTTGAACGAGTTCTTCGAAAACCTCGACGTTCTTCGTATCACCATTAGCACAACTAATGTTTTCTCTGAATTCAGATGGAACTTGACATCTCCAATTTGGCAAGAGCTGTTGGAGATTTCTGCCTTGCTTATAAATTTTTGGAGGCTTCACTAGTCAGAAAGAAGACAATCAACTCTATTTTCTGGAACTCAGAGAAGGGACAATGGCTTGATTACTGGCTTGATAATGGCTCTCACAAGGTATATATATATATATATGTATGTATATATAATTTCTGAAAGCTTTCTAAGCTTTTGGTACTCTTCTTTTAGCAGTTATGTTGATTGAAACTTTTTGAGCTTTCAGGGTGTTCATACATGGGATGCTCAGAACCAGAACAAGAACATATATGCTTCGAACTTCATTCCACTCTGGATCGAATCGTTCTACTCCGGTTTGTAGCTAATTCCCTCTTTACCATAAGCATTTTTTCAGCTTAGTTTCTCTGTAAGGCTAAGGTTAGGAATGGTATTCTTGTTTTTGTATAAACAGACAGCATACAGATGAAGAAAGTGTTGAAAAGCTTACGGAACTCAGGCTTGCTATGCAATGCCGGGATTGCAACTTCTACTATTAATTCAGGAGAACAATGGTTAGTAGTACTGAATCTTTAGGAACTGTTTGTTTTACATACACAACACTCAAACCTTTCATATCTGTACACAACAAAAGGGATTTCCCGAACGGTTGGGCGCCGATTCAGCACATGATCGTCGAGGGACTGGCGAGGTCGGAGTTGAAAGAAGCAAGGGTATTGGCTGAGGATATGGCCGTGAGATGGCTTCGAACCAACTATGTGGCTTACAAGAAAACAGGGTATATGCATGAGAAATATGATGTCCAAAAGTGTGGAGACTTTGGCGCAGGAGGTGAATATGTCCCTCAGGTACATCACTCATCAACTTGCATTGCATTTCTCTCTTCCACTCATTTGATTCATTAAGAAATGAAAGTTCCTCTGCTGATCTGTTTCCTTTTGGTTCCTATGTTTGAATGTAGACTGGTTTTGGATGGTCAAATGGAGTTGTTTTGGCATTCCTTGAAGAGTTTGGATGGCCCGAAGACCAAAATATTGACTGCTAATTGACTAGACCGCGCTGAACATGTTTGGAAGTGACTTTGGAATTGCCTAACTTGACTTTTACGATGACCCACATGACTAAACTACTTTTGGCCATAGATTCATTGAAGAGTTTGGCGGTGATTTTGAAAGATGTGTAGAAAATTAGAGAGAGGAGCCCTGTGGTTCGAAGAGCCTCCATGTTAATATAAAGTTTAGGTAGTAAATATTATATTAGATCCGTCTTATATAATTCACACGTAATGTCTTTCTAATATATTTGTTTATGTATTTTCATGAAATTTAAATTTCTAATATCAATTTTTAAATCTTGGTAAAGATTCGAATAACGAGTTTAGAATCGAGTTTTCTTTACTCTTAATCTTGAACATCATGCTAAGTTATTTTGGAAGTTTTTATATGTTAGATGTCGAAACGTCTTATTCTTTGAAATTTTCATTCTTCCTATATTTTGTAAATAATGACCAACAAAATTTACTCAATAAATTTTAATAAAAAAATGCAATCCGAAAAATGCCTATTGAAATTCGGGTTTGACAATTAAAAAACATAATTTAAAGGCCCAATTTAATGTGTCAATTCGACAGGCCGAACTCATTAGACCACAAATTGATTTGAGCTTAGCTTCTAGAAATTGGGTCCACCTTGAGGCTCAAACAATAATATTAACGTTTTGGGCCTCAACCTGTGACAAGCCCATGAAGTTTTTGGGCTCAATGGGCTGACCCAATGATCCACCAACAACTTTTTATCCTTTTTTCTTCTTGGACCTTATTGGCATAACTAGTGCCCATTTCACCTCTCCAATTTATATTTTTCTATCCATTAAAAGTTTGGTTTGGAGAATTTAATTTCTGTTTATCTATTCAAACATTGAAATTTTATAATTTTTCAAAATTTTAATCTCCCAAAAATGTAACTTTTTATAAAAAAAAAAAATCTTAAAAATCTAACTTTAAACCTTATTATGATGATATTTTTAGTTATTTTCTAGTGATGAAGATTTTAGTCGTTCCTAACTCAAAGTGTTTATGACTCAATTTGACCCGAAAATTACTTTTGTAATATACGGTATTTATCCATAATACAAATATCTTAATAAATTTATTAAACATTCCACTAACTTTTTTTAATTTAAATTTAAATTGTGCCAAAGCATACATTTTTTAAATTAAAAAAAAAAATATTATCAAATGGGTTCTACATAAATTTATTAAAAGTTGCATTATGATTATAGTTTTTCTAAAAGATTGAGATTAAGATTAAGATTTGGTGTAGCACTCAAAAGACAAAAAATAGCATTTAATAATAATAATAATAATAATAATAATAATAATAATAATAATAATAAGAGCAATAATAAAGGTTCCAAAGGTGGTGGAGTCAGGTTCTTCCAACTTAATCCATTTGTGTCAATATCCATACCCTTTAAAAACAACTTTCATCAAATAAATTATTCCAATGCTCTTTTCTATTTAATTTCTCTCTTTTAAAACTAAAATACCAATATTTGGATTCAATTTATAAATTAGATAAAGTTTTTGGGTACAATTTAATTCAAAATCTACTTTATTCTTATAAATAATTATTTTCGTTTTTATTTTATTACTTAAAACCCGAATTATACTTTAAACTGAATTAAAATAATATGTTTAGAAGAAATTAGCAATTAAACTTTTTTTTAAGAACATCTGACATTTGACAACATTATTATTTACGAACCAAATAATTAAAAGTGGAAAAAAGAAAACTTTGGTTTAAAGATACTGATTGGTGATATGAAAGAAGATGCATGGGAGGATTGGGATCCAATAATTTAAGAGCAAAAGAGGATTGAAAAATTAGGCCCCAAAAACCCTAATTTCAAGGGGGAGGAGGGACCCTTCAAAGATTCCTAGCCTTCCCCCACTTCAAATGTCTACTTACTGCCAATTATTGAACCTTTCTTTTATGTATTCCTAACATATGGTGTATTTATATTATATAACCTAAGCTTCCTCCCACATTATTATATTCGAATAAGTGGGTATCGTTTATTAAATATGAGGGTTAGTGGAAACAAATCACAATTCCGATAATTTCACATCACATCAGTCAGATTTTAAAAGATTTCAACGCATAAATCAATAATAAACACGTAAGAATTGCTCCAAACAAAACACGCTTAGCTATATAGTCTTTTAGGTTAGGTTGTATGTTGGGTATGAGATCTTCGAAAGGGTCATGATGTAGTGAGACTGTTACAACCCGACCTCCCAATCCAACAAGTCAAAGGTGGGCTGACCTATGATTAGGTTGGATTTGTTAATAGGTATGTTATTAATCACAGTCCTCCCCTAGTGATTAGGTTGGATTAAATTTAGATTAGTGAAAGATAATTGGGTAATTAAACACCCAAATAATTAGGGATTAATGATGGATTTAGCAAAAAGACACACAAAATCCAAGATTAGGATTTCATGGGCTGTATCCATATCTTGGACACAAATCACAATCCAATTTACATATTTTTTAATGTGGTGGAGTTGGAATTTCCTTTTCCATTTACATATTTATGTCCTTTCAACATTAAACCATTTCATTTTGCTTTATTACCAGATTTCTTTGTATTAATGCGCTTATCCTCGATTACTATGCAAATTAATTATGTTAATTATGTTGCCCTACCACCATTTGGTTGTATTCCAACATATATATTTTGGGGCATTTTAGTCTCGACAGGTGTAAACATGATTTTGGTGAACGGTCATTCACTCCCGTAATGATACAACATGAAATAAGAAATGTCTATTTAAGATAAAAGCATGTAAAATGGGTTTGGAATGGGCATGCGGGCATCGACCCAGACATGTGACAACGAAAAATGGCATTAAGGTGAATAAGGGTGTATGAGACTGTGATGAAGAGCGGGTAATTATATCAAAGCACTATGGAGAATAAGATAATGGGGGTTGTGGAGTAGAGAATATGATGTCACAGGGTCCCCTCCTTAGGCAACGGGTTTGTGAATTTTTTATTTTTTTCTTTTTTATTTTATTTTTTAATACTTCCATGTAAATTAAACATGGCTTTATCTATATGTATATCATATTTCTTAATCTTTGTGGAAAATTTAGTATTTTGGAAAATAGCATATATATATATATATATTAAAAAAAAAGATTATATAATTACAGAAAACACCTTCCCAATTATGGATTATAGCATGTGAAACTTACTAAAGTGAAAAGATGAATGAGGGTGAGTAGGGTTGTGACACATGCATTCCCACGTGACATGTTGCAATTAATAATTCAATTTATACAATTTTTTTTTGTCATTCAATAATACATCAAAATCAAAATGAAGTTATTTTAGTTTAGATGGATATAAACCTAATATCCTTCCTACCATATGCTATAATTTAAAATTCTTAATTTACATATAAATACATTATAACTCATAAATATATGAATTCTTATTTTTCATTTCTTTATTTTGATATATACAATAATAAGAATACACTAAGTTATCGTTTTGTTTGTAATTTAATGAAAAACATATCTATTAGTAATATCAAGATCTATATCCACAATTGGCATTTTTGGTTTTTACCTTTGATTTTTGCCTATGAATATGAGTTAAATTGATATCAAGATGTGATAGATTGAAATTATATTAACGAGATGAGGTAATTCAATGTCGTATTTTTTCATTTTATACATGATTTTTAGTCATTCTTTTGTTGTATTTGTAAGAACAAGAACAAGGATCAAACTAACATTTTTGTCCCGTGATTTTTTACCACCTTTGTACAAAATCATGCAATTTGATTTTTTTTTCCTTTTAAAAGTATTATATTGTGACTCACATTAAAAATTTAATTGAATAAAAATTAACTAATCATTATCTATACTAGGCTGCGTTGGACTTCCCCAAAAGGTCTCATACCAAGAGTTAGTATTCCATTCCATTCCCTAAACTTAGTCAAAAATGAATGCATTCGAAGGATTTGCCAATGCTCTAATACCATGTTAAACGAACACGAGTCTCCACAATGGTATGATATTGTCCACTTTGAGCATAAGCTCTCATGGTTTTGCTTTGGGCTTTCCCAAAATGTCTCATACCAATGAAGTTAGTATTTCTCACTTATAAACCGATGATCATTCCCTAAATTAGGGGAGGTGTGACTTTCATCCTCCAACAATTATAAATTTTAGAAGTAAACTCATGATTATTATAATAAAAGGTTGATATAATGATGGTTAAATTTAACTAAACTGTAGATTAGTTTAAGGAATTCCATGAATCCAACCATGTGTGTATTGAAGAGTGAAAGAAATTTTAATTTAATTTAATTTATTTATGGGGATGCCAACTAGTTCAGTTCAATTAATTTCAAACCATGTGATTGGAGTCTTGATCTGTTGGATAATAATAATAATAATAATAATAATAATAATAATAATAATAATAATAATAATAATAATAATAATAATAATAATAATAACAATAATACAACAAAAAAAGAAAATAACTAAAATTTAAAAGATGCCTTTTCGACGATTAATGATTAGCCAGCTGGCATTTTCCTTCTCCCCGTATCAGTCTTACGGAATCGAGGCCGTGGAATTGACCCTTCCAGCCGATCCGAACAACCCCTCACGTGCACTCCTTCTCTCTCCTCCCAACGTGTCACTCTACGACTTTTTCAACCCTTTTAAATTAATCGCCGACTCCTCCCTAACCAATCAACGCCTCATAATTCTCAATCATTCCATTTATTTTCCTTTTTTCTTTTTTTAAATTTACGTGAAACTATTGTTACTCTACTAATTTCTTTAAATATCTATATTTCTTTTGTACTTACATGTACTTAGTCCTTAATATGTATGATTTCTTTAACAGATTCATTTTTATTTTCTTCTGAAATTTTCATAAAAAACTTAATTATATATAACTTTAAAAACAAAATTATCTCGACCAAGAAATATACAAACTTTCAAAACTTATATATATATATATATATATATATATATATTTTACCCTTAATTATTTATTTTCTAATTTTTAATGGTAAAATTATGAATTTGGTTTTTACTTCCAAAACGTCGTCGTTTCCATATACATATACCCAACCTAAATTAAAGCTACACGCATTTTTTGAATATAAAAATAAAAAAAATAAAAAAGTGGAAAAGGGAATGGCCATCTGTCACCTTTTCTAATTCCAATTCCACATCCAACTAAAAGCTATGAACCCAAAACGTTTGCGTATGAAACTTTTTTTTCTTTTCTATTTCTATATATATATTAATTAATTTTTTTTTATTTTTATTTTTTGTCTAGATTTTATGTTATTTTAATTTAATGAGAAAAAAGTGTAAGGGAAATTAGTAAAAAGTAGCAGAAAAAGAAAAAAAGAAATAGTAATAAATGAATGGAAGCTCCCATTTACCCATTTGAATAAAGGAAACAAAGGCGTTCTGAAATGACAAATATGATATCCACCCTTCTCTCTCTCATCCTGGTTTATAAATTGCAGTCCAAACCCCATCCCCCGCCTTCCCTTATTAACAAGCCCTTCTCTCTCTCTTTTTCAATCCCTCTGCCTTCTGAAGTTGACACATGAACCCCGGCGTGGCCTGCCATTTCTGACACTCTCCTCCATTCCCTCCAAATGCTCGATTCTTTCTACTACCTCGCCGGCTCCCCCGGCCCCTCCGGCTTCGGCTCCAAATCCACCGCCGAACAAGTCACTGCCTCCTCTCCTCTCCCCCTCCCTTCCCTCACCGCCATCATCACCGGTATTACTCTCCTCTCTTCTTTCCGTCTAACCTTCTATTTTCATCTTTTTATTTATTTTTTTTTTTTCAGGCGCCACGTCTGGTATTGGAGCTGAGACGGCTCGGGTTCTTGCCAAACGTGGGGTTCGTCTCATCCTCCCCTCCCGGAACCTGAAAGCCGCCGAGGAAACCAAGTCGCGGATCCTCTCTGAATGCTCCGATTCCCAAATCATCGTTATGCCACTTGATTTGAGCTCTCTCTCTTCCGTTACAAACTTTGTTCATCAATTTCAATCTCTCAACCTTCCTCTAAACCTCCTTATGTAAATTTCCCTTTTCTTATATCACTCTAATTATTTTCTTTACCATAACGCTGTTATTCATTTTAATTTCTTTCTTTCTTTCTTTCTTTTTTTATATTTTAGAAATAACGCTGGGAAATTCTCGCATGAGCATGCAATTTCCGAGGACGGGATCGAAATGACCTTCGCCACTAATTATTTGGGTAATTTTTTAAAAATACAAATATTATGTATTTTGAAGATTATTTATATTATGTGATAAATGATTATTATTATTATTTTATTCAGGTCATTTTCTGTTGACGAAACTGTTGGTGAATACGATGGTGGAAACGGCGAAAGAGACGGGGGTTGAAGGGCGGATAGTGAACGTGTCGTCGAGTATTCACGGGTGGTTTTCCGGCGACATGATCAAATATCTGGGCCAGATAAGCCGGAACAAAAGGTGAGTTTCTTCAATGAATGGGGGGTGGGGGGGTTTGACTTTGTGTATTAATTATTGTAATACAGTTAATGTGGGTGGATTCCCAGCAGGAACTACGATGCCACACGTGCGTACGCGCTCTCCAAGCTTGCCAACGTTCTTCACACGCACGAACTCGCTCGCAGATTGAAGGTTCTTTACATTCTAATATTATTTATTACCTCTTCTTCATTTTTGGGTTTATTTATTTATTATTATTATTTTTTTTTATTTAGCAAATGGAAGCTAATGTTACAGTGAACTGCGTTCATCCCGGAATTGTAAGAACTCGACTCACCAGAGATCGTGAAGGTTTCATAACTGGTATGAATTTTATTTTATTTTATTTTATTTTCCTTTTCGGTTAATTCAATATTAAATAAACAATTAAAAATGCAGATTTGGTGTTCTTTATGGCTTCCAAGCTGTTAAAGACAATCCCTCAGGTAAACTGTTAAGGATATTTAATAATAAATTATTGTTTACCATATATATTATATTTGATATTTTATTATAAGGCAAATATTAGATATTTGCCTTATTATAGTATCTTTCTATTTATTTTATTTCCATTTATTACTATTTCCATATCCTTGTAATTCATTTGATTATAAATAAGATAACTTTCACACCATTTAGGTGTGGTGGATTAATCAAACATTCACATGGTATCAGAGCCCTCTCGGTTTAACAACCCCGATCCTTTCTTTTCAATGGCTTTTGAATTCTCTAATCTTCTTCTCCACCACCCCTGCTGGTTTTGACGCTGCAGGGGCAGTCTTCATGGCTGCCGTAGTCGGAGCCGATTGATTACTCTTCGGCTCCACCCTATTGACCTCCAAATCACCTTTCGTCATACTCTGTACATACAACCTCACCTTTCCAATCAAATTGGTTTTACCCTTGACCAATATAGTCTCTCTCATTTTCTTCCCAATTCATCCTTCACATAAACCCTAACCTAAACCTATCAACCTTTTGCAGAGATTTACCTTCGGAATCTGGGTGCCGCACTGGCCTATTCGCCAACCAAGTTGCCGCCGCCCTTCCTGCCAAAATTGGCTTCTTCGCCCGATGAGGCGACTCTTCCGACTGCCCTTCTCGCCAAAATTGGCTCCTTCGCCCAATGTGGCGACTCTTCCAGCTTCAACATTTTCTTTGTCCCTTGCTCTAGGTTTCCCCTTCTACTTCTTGGGGTTAGAAATATTCTCACCAGAGCCAAGGCAGCATCGTCGCTAAGCGACAATCCCTCTTCATGGGTTAACATATTCTCGCCGAAGCCAAGGCAGCATCGCCGCTGAGCGGCGATCCCTCTGCAATTTTTGATGACCAAGAATCGGGTTGTTAGCATCTTCATGAAAAGTGTTTCTCAACCTCTTTGAATTTTTCAGATTCAAGCTTCACGTTCGTTTAAATCCGACGCTTAGCTTGCGGTGGGGTGTTAAGGATATTTAATAATAAATTATTGTTTACCATATATATTATATTTGATATTTTATTATAAGGCAAATATCTAATATTTGCCTTATTATCATAGGTATCTTTCTATTTATTTTATTTCCATTTATTACTATTTCCATATCCTTGTAATTCATTTGATTATAAATAAGATAACTTTCACACCATTTAGGTGTGGTGGATTAATCAAACATTCACATAAACAATTCAAAACCTCTGGATAATGAAAATAAAACTGAAAAAGAAGATTAAAACTGACACCGGCCGCCTGATGCTCTTCTTCGACAGGCGGCGGCAACGACATGCTACGTGGCGACAAGCCCGAGGTTAAGCCACGTCACCGGGAAGTATTTTTCAGACTGCAACGAAGCCTCGCCGTCGAAGCTTGCCGCTAGCCCAACGGCAGCCGCCCGTCTCTGGTCCACCTCCGAGATCATGGTCAACTCTAAGTCAAAGCTGGTTTTCGATCCGAACAACGGGTTGGAGTAATTTAGTATATTAAAAATCCAAATCCAAAAAAATATATAAATTGTTTGGTTTAGAGAGGGAGAATCTTAGTCCAGAAATGAATTATAAATATATATATATATATTGGTAGATGGTAGGTAGACAAAAAGCAAGAAGCTAGGTAGCTAGTGGAAGGGGGAAGGAATATATTCACATCAAATGTAAAATTATATAGTTTCTTTTTTTAATTTCTTTGTTTATAATGTGGTAATGGATATAATCAAATATCTAATTTTCTTATATTTTTAATTAACTACTCAAATTTTTATACTTTTTTTTTTATTTTAAAAAAGACATTATTAAAATTAAAAAATATTGAAGCCATAAATATAAATTTTATGGTGACATATCAGCCAAGTTAAGTGCCTGATTACACTTGAATTATATTATTGGACCCATCAAGTATTGGATGATTTGGCTGTGTGTAAGATCATTTAATCATGATGATACTAAGATTCTAGGGCCATATTTAAAGTAAGAAAAAAAAAAGTGGCTTTATTTATTTATTTATTTCTATTTTTTAAATGGAAATATTTAAAATTAGAAAATGGCTACTAGTTCATTCCAATTATTTGAAAGACCCATGCTTTTGTTTCGGTACAAAATACGAAAACGACGGCGTATTGCATCTTTGGACTTTGGGGGGGATGTGGGGTAGGATGGTGGCAGATTTTCATGTGGGTGGGATTATATTTATTTTTTTTATTTTTAATAATTTATTCGGAGAAAAATACATCAATATAGGACCTACTAACATGTGCCCTTAGTTTTAAAAAATACCCCTATGAAGTCATGGATTTAAATTATGGATGGTCTCCTACCTAAAATATAAAATAATTCATCGAGTTATTTTAATATTTAAATATCGTAAAATTAAATAGTTGTCAATGTGAACGGTCAAAGTATGGTGAATGTAGCTCTAGTGTCCATATTTATTCAAAATAATTAGTTTTAATAATAATTCTATAGATTAAAAAAAAATAATAATTAATTAGGTCCTTAAATTTTTAATTTATTCTTTCAAAAAATTTATTGTTGAGGTATACATCAAACGGGCCTGCCCACAAATAAGCCCAAAATGAGGCCCATTCAAAGTCCAGACCCATTGGTTGCCAGATCATGTAATTTTCATTCGAGCGACACGTGGGACGTCTCGTTTTCGTTCGACCGGTGATTACCGGTTCGAACGCTCAGGGTTTGGTTGAACCAACCCGTCTTTGTGGACTGTTTTCGATCAGAACGGGATTCCGCGACAGGCCGTGAATTCTAATCTCTCTCGGACTAACAAGTTCCCATGAAGTTTTTGATTTCGATTTGAACATTTTCATGCACTTGGCATTCTCCTCTTCTTCCTAATCCCGCCATGGAAGCTTCCCTTTCTCCAGCTGCTTCGGAAGGTCTGAATCCTTTTTCTTCTTCAGATAATGCATCTCTGTTCTTCTTTTTCATCGATAATACACTTGACGAGTATTGCCTTAAATTCATAACTTAATTGCATATTTGAAAAGCTAATTTTCTATCGATTGGCGATTCTTTCATCAATATGCACTCATGAATTGAGCAGATGTGGTTTTTGAATCCTTTAATCAATCGTTGATGTAAATGTGCAACTTCGTAAAAGATTTGAGCAGATGTGGTTTTTTATTGTGGCCTTTCTGGTGATTGATTATTTTTTTCTCGCGGGAAAATACTATTGTTCATCATTATTCTCAATAGTTAGTCAACTGAAACGTCTTGTTGTTTTTTCATTTCAGGAATAAATTTATCGGCAGAATTTGTGTGTTTCAGAAAGGAAAAACTTGTACCAAGAGCTCACAACTTTCTGTCATTCAACTCAGCCTATAAATATCGACCACTGCTCTTAGGTCAGACAAAGGATTTCTGTAGGAAGAATAAGTGTGCGACGGTAGATTACCATTACCTTTCTTTCTCTCCGCAGTCTCAATAATTACTTTCGATTCTTTTTGTATGAGAAATGTCACTGTTGAATCTTTCTCTTTTCCAGTTTACGTGCAGTCAGAGGAGAGAATTTTCTGTTGTCGTGGGCAGGTACGCTAACAAACCGTGTTCAATTGCTATATTTGTATTTCAACTGATTTCCATGGTTTGAAAATTGTGAAAGAAAAATAGAACTTCAATAAAAACTATATTCAAAGATCAAATGTCAAGTCTAATTAATCACAAAGCTTCATTTCGATTTCATAATATTTGGCGGCTGGAGGACGTTTCTTGGCATTTGGTCTTACAAATTAGTGTGCTGGAGCATCCTTGCATTTCCATCATTCATAAAACTGATCAATGGGAGAAATTAGTGTGATTGGATTTAACAGCCATTTTATCATCTAAATGCTTTAAAGCTGCATACACATGATTTAAAAGAAGCATTGCTGCATTATAAACATTGTTATAACGTTTTTTTTTCTTTATCCATATAAATAACTAATCATCTTTCTATTTCTACTTTTCTTGTGTTCATTTTGACGTTCCTTTCTATTATCTCTCAAGGTGTATAGATGACATATATGATGATTTAGCTAAACGTCTTCTTCCAACAGCAGCAGCAGCAGCTTCAGATCCTGATCTTAAGTAAGTCGCACCTTTCAAAACTGTAAAAAGAGGGGGTTCAGGTAGTACACCAGATAATAAATACGTTATTTGAAAAAATATTACAACATATTATTATCCACTTGGTATTGCTAATTTTTTGCCCCATCAGCAACATTAAAATCTTATAACCCCGACCAGAGTTATTGTATTTAATAGACAGAAAAAACCATCTCTGTAGAATTTCAACTACAAGCGCAGCATGGTGCCTTTTTGGATTCTGATTACCTTGAATCTCCAATGAGACATTTGTTTTTTTTTTTTTTTTTTTTTTATAAATCTCAAATATACCACTTGTTTCTATTGCCCCTTGCCCACCCCAAGGAGATTAAAATAGCATCAAATCCCATCATTCTATGTAAAAACACATATAATTCCATATTTCAGTAAAAAATTAGAGATGTGCATACAAGTATAGACGAGTCTTACAAATTTAAACTATTGAATAGGTCGATCACTTTTAAGTGAGGATTATAAAGTTTCAAATTTGATGTAACCTCTGTACTCAAACATGAATGACTCTGGAGGTATTGTCAAATAGCAATAATGGCAACCGATGTTATATTGTGTGAGACATAATTGAAAATGCTTTATTGTACTTAGAAAGAAGAGAGAGAAAAAAAGGACACATCCATTTATATTAAAGGGAGTGCGGTGGATAAGACAGCTTATTTTCTGATAAATTTCAGAATTCCTAATAACCTCTTCTTTCCCCTTTTTCAATTTTTATATTTAATGCTTACGCCATTCCCACCTAGTATTCACATTTTTTTTTTTTTTTTTTTTGTATTTACCTGATCATGCAGATATATTATAGGTTTGGCTGGTCCTCCTGGTGCTGGGAAAACAACTGTAGCATCTGAAGTGGTGCGGCGATTAAATAAATTATGGCCTCAGAAAGATTCTTCAATGGATTCTCAAGTAAAGCCTGCTGATGTTGCTGCAGTTCTCCCTATGGATGGTTTCCATCTTTATCGTTCTGAGCTTGATGCAATGGAGGTGAGTTCCTATATGTTGATTTCACGGAGTTTACACTGCCTCTTTTGTGGCACATCATATAGAACCATCAGATTGCTTTAACTTATAGGATTAGAAATTACATGTGGGGCTTTAATTGTTTTGTATACAGTTCAATTTCTTTGTTACATTGGAAAATGTAATTGCTGAAGTCTTGTTTTTGGCCGGTAGTATTCCAGCCATACTTTACCATTTTAAATCAACGTTTCTACCTATGATCTTTTCGTGTACATGATCTGAGTAGAGATTTGGCATACTACAGCACTTTTTCCCCCTTAATCTTGTCATAGGTTTATTATGGCACTATTTCATCGAGTATTTTATGATTCCAGTGCGTGAACTACAAATGACATGCATAGTTATTATTACCATCTGATGGGCGAACTTTTGATCTAATCTTTTTAACAAGTTTTTCATGTATTATTATGATGTTATCTCCATCTTTAATTCAAGATGCTACGTACATGCTCTTGTTGATGTCATGCCCTCCTGGCTTTGAGCTCAAAATCATTAACTGCTAAATCCACCTGTAAATTTTTTCTGTGATGTATGTTGCTTTACTTACTCCTAACTGTAAGCTGTGTCCTCATCTCAATAGAATCCAGAAGAAGCGCATGCAAGACGGGGAGGTGAGATCTAAGTTAAATTAATTGTTGATTTTATACCTTGCAAGCACCAGACGTGGTTGATTTCTAATTGATGAATCAGCTCCTTGGACATTCAATCCTCAGCAGCTACTCGCATGCCTCAAGACACTAAGAAGTCAGGTAATTTAGTTACTTAGGAAGAAAGACATCATTTCTCTATTTGAGCATCCATTCTTTAGTAAGATATCTTCGTCGTGTTCTTTCTTTCTGTTCAGTTTGAAATGATGGCTTTTCCAGGGATCAGTATATGCACCATCATTCGATCATGGTGTCGGTGATCCAGTTGAGGATGATATCTTCGTGAGCCATCAGTAAGTGGTTTTTTCTTTTTCTTTTGCTATACTGCTGTATTAGTCAATCGTTGCAAATAATTTGGCAGACTACGAACGTTTCCCTTGCTGACATGATTATAACTAATGGAAATTCTTTGGGTACCTCTGTCTGGCAAACATAAACTAGGAACAGCAATTAAAATTTAAGGGATTAATGGATTCATTACAATCAAGGTGGAAAGCTGATACCAATCTCAACTAATCTGTTGAACTAGGTTGAAAAGTTGTATCAATTGGCTGCCTGAAGTTTAGTATATCAAGTTTTGATCTGCCTGATTTCTGCAAAATCATGTGATAAGATTTTCAAAAAAATTCATGGGGTTTTCTGCTACAATGCTTATATCCTTCTTTTGCTATACTGACAGCATTTTGATTGGAAAGTCAATCCATCTTTAATTTTGGGATCCCCCCCCCCC